TATATATATATATTTTCCAAGATTATATTAACTTCACAGTAATTACATGGTTTCAATATTATACATAATTACTATATCGACATAAATAATTGTATCTTAAAAAATTATGTAACTATTTAAATTTATAATTAAAACTATAAAAATATTCCCTGAGTTATAGAATTAGATTTGCATTTTGTTCTTGTTATTAATAGAAATCATTCTTAATAGAATCATTCTGGAGACACGATAGTGTCTCGGCGTTAAGACATGGCGCGAGTGTAATACTTACTTGACTCACAAGAAGTTCACCAACCGCACAATAAAGACACATATGCATTAAAACACATATAGTCGCGGACGTGTACCAAACCAATTGCAAGATTGATAAGTGACCACCTCGATTAACAATCTAAATTATTATAAATTCTATACATTACATTTCAAAATTTTATTTTATTGTTTTGAAAGTTATTTACATGAAAGTTATATAATAAAAAGTAAAACATCTATAATGGATCAGCAATTCATTTTGATAAACGCATCTTGCAACATCAATCATTTATTATTTGCTAATTAGCAATATTTATCTTAGTAAAATGCTATATAATTATTCTTACTTACACTAACTATTAGAAATCCGTGAAGACAAAATAGGATCCCAAAAAAAAAAAACAGACCAAGCAGCATTAAATTGAAAGTATTATCAATAGTTTCTATAGCTCTGCAAAATAAATACAAAAAAATATAAAGATTACATTTTTTTAAATTCTATATTCAAAAGATTGAATTATACATTTTTTAAATGACTAATTTTTAAGAAATTTAAATTAAAATATAAAAATACAAAATTGCACGTCGTGTTTTATTTTGATCAACTCGAATTTTGGTAGATTTTTAAATGATTTTCTTTAAAGAAGGTATTTAAGGATCTAATGGATCCATGTTTGAACATTTTTAATTTAGAACCTGTTCAAGCGGATGTGATCTTTTACGTTGTACTTCAAAACCGCTTTGAAATTCGAATCCTTTCCCAGATTCAGTAATCGTAGATGCAAATTCTCTATCTGACCGCATATATGCAAGATCAGTAAACCCAAAAAGCTGTCGACTGCGGTATAAGAGAGACCAGATGTAGTTAATGCGATTGTTTGTATCAGATATGTTAGCTCGTATTTCGGACTGCTAGATACATCGTGTAAGTAGTATGATTGTATTGGCAAAGGCTTTCCAATTGGATCAGTAAGATTCGTTACGTGTCTGAGCGTCCGGGCAAAAGGAAAAGAAAGAACAGTTATTAGCATTGTAGAAAGTATCATGAGTATTCCACATACGGCAAGTAAACGGACGATTTTGGCTTGTTTTAACATGACAATTCACTCCTCTTCCATTTTTACTTTTATCCAATCATTCACGATCATATTAATCAACGGCGATAAAGCTAGAAAAATAATGAGTTTTTAATATACATACGTGAAATTATTATTATTTTTTGTAATATTATCTTTTGATACTACATCTCTCAGTTCAACTAATAATTTATTTTAGTAATGAACGAGAATGGATTAAAATAGATTGAAATTTTAATCTATTTGAATCTAGAAATCTTAGAAAGTGTGTTTTAGTATGATATTTTTACTTTTTTTAGATTCAATTGGAATCGAAAAAATTGCATTTCCTATCCAGAATTGTATATTCACGATGCATTTAAAAAACTGAACTTTTTTTATTGAAAAGTATAGAAAATTGTTTGAATACCTTCTTGTTTATACCACATAATAAAGACTTTTAGCATTGTTATCAAAAGAGGCAAGGTGTATTGTAAATTATCTATCATCAATATCATATCGCCCCATACTCTTATCAATGACACTAAAGCCGGAATAGCTAATACAAAAATCAACATAATGATATTAAGTAAGAACTGAAGTTTCAATAATAATTCTTCATGCTGATCTTTGCTTTCTTGCGGCCACAGACCGACAATTTTCAACATGCAGCGGTTTATACTGATCGCCCATTCTAAATCTATACGAAATCAATTAAACAAAAAAATATTAGAATTTACTTAAAATATTTTTTTAGTCTGTAAAACTTTACTTATGTTTTCAAAACTTTATATACTTTAAAAAATAAAATTCTTTATATACTTTAAAAAATAAAAATCCTGAAAATTACAGATATTTTGCACAAGCGCACAGTGTGTATACACAATTATATTATTTCTTAAAAAAATTACTAATTCAAATATTAAATTAATAACTACTAAATTAATAACTACTAAAATTTATATTCTTTCAAATTAAAATATTAAGTATAAAATTGACATAAAAGTTCACAGATATATAATTTTTACATAAGAATTCGTGCTTATTATTATTATTAATTTAAAAATTTTATTAAATACGAGAGGGAGGGAAGGGGGAAGAGAGAGAGAGAGAGAGAGAGAGAGAGAGAGAGAGAGAGAGAGAGAGAGAGATGGAAACGCAGAGAGCAATAAAACATTTTGTGAATTCTGACGCTATAAAAATGGTGTATTTATATTTTAATTATTTTGTTGCAGATGCAGCAAACTGATTTAATGATAACATACAAAGTATTGTATAATGTCTTATTGTATTTTGCTTTCCAATGCGTATCCTCTCCATCCTTATACGAATAAACATTTAATACAATAATTTTAAATTATAATATGGAGAGGTATTATTTTGTATTCAATTTTTATATTTTGTTAAAATTATTAACTGATAACAAGAAAGAATACCATTATATTCGTGTGAACGATCCATTGATCCAAGGATTACTGATCTTCGTCCGTCAACAATATTATTTTCTCTTTCTGAACATTATTACACACGCATGTTTCCAACGAAATTCTTGAAACGCAGTACATTGCGTCGTAAATATTGTAGCAACGAGAAAGAACATGTGCTGTTATCGTTTGATCAAAGTATTCAGCGAAAGGGTATAATGTATAAATTATAATGATGAGTGCATAAAAACGAGCATTCAAAGGCCAAACCATCTGGTCAAACCGTTTTACATTGTTTCGTACTTTTCTCTTTTACGAAAACTTCATAGATGAAGGGTTGCAACTGCCCATAAGAAAAATGCTTACGTTTGTAAAAAAAGACGAAATGAGCCAAATTGCTGAAAATTTCATCAGATCTGTGGAAAGCGCACAGCTTGTAGATATAGTTTTTACGTTGCTAAAAAATTCCATCGTTGAACGAGAAAAGTATGACCGTTTATTAGACACTTTGGCAGTGCATTATTAATAAATCAATACTTTATAGCTGCAATTCGTTTGTATCATACAGTTTCGAGATGTAACCACAAAACAAGAACATGAAAGTAAATAAGAAAAATGGAAATAATAAACAAGAAAACAAGAAAAATGGAAATAATAAGCAGTTTGTTGGTATCAAAGCCATTGAAAATTTCGTGTGGGAACGCATGGCTTGTAGAGACTTTTTGTGTTGCTAAAAAATTTTCGTCGTTGAAAGAGAAAAGAGTTGCTGTGCCCTGGACATTTTGACAGTGCATTATTAATGAACATATAGCTGTAAACTGTTGTGTCCAGCAGTCAGTCGAAATCTAGTCACGTAACGAGAAGGATGGGAAGAAATAAGTGATAATTTATGTGTGCTAATTTGAATGTGCGAAAAGATATATACGCGTGTTTATGATTTATATAAAAGAATTCTGACGAGATTAAAACATTTAAAGGAAAAGAAAAAAACGCTTAAAGTACGAAAATTATTGCTTTTCGAATTATTACTGTGTGTCATTATCTTCTTTTTTCTTCCATCACATGTACATGCAATACGAATCATACGTAGATAATACGAAGAATGGAGTGTTGAAAAATTCATTTTTTTATTCCATAATAGATAATTATTAAATTTAAATAAAATTCTTAATCTGCAAAAAGAAGATTAATTTTGATGAGATGTTGTTTGTTTCGCATATTATTGACGAAGCAAATAAGAAAATGATTCAAGATATTTTTGTGAGACTTTAAGAGCTGGTTCGGCGGGATGTTAGGGTATAATTTCGACGATGTGATTTTATCTAATCTTCTTACCTGCTTACGAACCTCATCAAAAAGAGAGAGGAAAATAAATTTGACGACGTCCTTCGTTTTCGTTTAGGACAGGAATTTCTGATGGGTTTGTAATGTGTCTGTAATGATATAAGAGACTTCTTAAATTTTGAAGCTACTTAAATTAT